GTTTACAACTAGACTGCCGACCAGCATTACCCAACGAAGAATGTGTGCTTGGAAAAACATAATCAGACCTAAAGAAATGCACGCAAAAACAATATAAAAATCGCATCAATTTTATTGGTAATAATTAAATTTGCTGAGCAGTACAGCAAAACAACAGGTACTGTACAGTATGTATTATTAAATAATGTGTTGAATTTGCGTAGGCTAGGCTTGGACTAGGCCTAGTCAAAAGAATCCAGGGCTTTGATAAATTAATTAAATAGCTAGGCCCAGACTACAACAATCTTGTTCAAAATGCGTACAAGTTCTATAAACTGAACTGGACGAAAAACTGAACATTGGAGCCGGAGGGGTGTCTGTATTGTGAGTAGACTGCAACTTACGACATACGATCGTGTGAGAAGTTAGTTTTGACTTGGCTAACTTGTTGTCGTACAAAAATTAAGGATTGAACTTTGTATTTTCCCACGGCTGTGTATTTTCCCACGTGCGCTACAAAATTTGGAACTTCGACTTGTGTGGTTGAAATTACTTTAAAATCGGCCTATCCGGACCTTAAAATTCTGTCGATATAGCCGAAATTCGACTTATAAAAATTTAAATCAAACAAACAATTTACACAGTAATACATAGGAAAGAATTGGGACTTTTTCAAAAATTCGACTGACGCGAATTTTTCGACTTAAACAGAGTCGACTTTGGTGTACTCGACTGTAGTATAAATAGAAAAAAAAGATTCTGTAATGAGTTGAATGTAATTTTTATTTACAAACAAGGATAGGCCTATAATAGTATTAATATAATAGGCTTGGCCCACGTCGTCACTGAATGTTTCATTCGCCACAAACATTACCTACAGTGTACCATAAATTAAAATATAGACAATAATAGTTTCGGCAATATTTATTTCATCTTTCTCAATAAAAACTGTATAATTATTAATACTATTTCGGATTTCGGGCATAATTTTTTCACTGACACACTGCTGTAATGCTGTCTGTTCACGAAAATAGAACATGTACTTTCTTCACGCACTTGATACGGCAGAATTGGTTTGAGAATGGAACATTGATGGGACGGGTTTTAAACATTTTTTGAATCATCATTAAATGATTACAGTAATTGACTTAGTTCGGGATTATTAATAAAGAAAAACACAATTTACGTTCAGAGGAACCATTTATTCAGTAAATGTATTTGCTGTACATAATTGTCAATAGTTTGAGCATGCGCCATCCGCCAAAAACACTGGCTGGTAAAATATGTTGTCATGTCAAGGACCTTTTGACTCTGCTGCTGCTATAGCCTGCAGTTCTAGGATAAGCCTCCTTCTCTAGGCTAGGCCTACTAATTTTCTTCCAAAATGTAGGACAATTAACATTGCATCTATGTAGTGTTTAGTATAGGGACATATGGATACATGTGGATTAAGTAACATCAACAAGATAATAAACTTTTATGACTGAGTCTGTGGGTGAGTAGGGCCTGATGAGCAAGTCAATCAAGGCCCTAGTCTAGGCCAATGTTTGGTAGGACTAGCGACCAAACTTACTAATATTGTACAATTAAAGTAAAATACTACGCAGCATATTTTGCTCGATATTATCTTGGATACACGTTTGAATTCTTTACTCTAATTGACAACTGTTTACTGTAGTTAAAAACATTGTTTATTCCTGCTAATCTACCCAACAAAACACTCAACATTCTCGTGGTATAATTGTTTATCAGGCCACGTTCTACGCATGGTGGTAGATCCTACTACCACGCATCTACAACGAAGTTACCTTAACTTTAGCAATGGAAGTACAAATACGGTACCCTATCTCTAGCCACGACGATAATAATATCTATATTTTTAATAGGCAGTGTTTATTATGCAAATATGCCAACATTGATATAAAGGCGGTCTATTTCTCTGATTGGCTAATGTAAATTATGACATCATCAAACCAAGGCCGCTGCTAAGGAAGGATCGGGAAAGAAACACGAAAAGCATGAAATTAATGTCATGGTACTGTATATTAAATTAGATAATTAACTTGCGAATTAATAAAGACTTGCAAACTAATTTCTTTACAGGTGGATGGTATTTATAAAATAGTTCATAAAAACAAAAATTATGATTTGCTGATGTCTATTTAAAGAGTTATGGCCTCAGAAAGAAAGGTTTTTAGCAACGCCAAACCAATCCCACTCTGTTCTCGTTGGGGACTTTGACCCCTGTTGGGGATCCTGGTGCCACCGCTGCTCACATCAGAGGCTAATTACTAAATACCCATGAAGCCTATCAGTCTTTTGAGCCGCTTTATATTTTCATTCCTTTTCTGTTTAATTTTGTTTATAAATATTTGTCTACTTTGAAAATATATAGGCCTACTTTGAAATGTTATTCAAATAATATTACAAGTACTGTCTGCCCAGAAATACAAGAAGCCAACAAATCACAGTCGGTACGTTCACATAAGCTATCAAGATAAACTTATCATGATCTATTCATCATGATAACTTTAGCATGTTAGAGAAAACCGTTCATATAGAAACCATCATCATGATCTATTTATGCTAATGCGTGCAGTGTTGCATGAAAACTACCAGAAGCATAACCAATGAGGTTGGGACCTGTTTAATAAACTGAAGGCTGATTGGTTGAATTCAATCTCATGAATTAATTTATCACGTTAACCAAGGTTAATCATGATGAATCAACATGCTCCACTAGATCACAATAAGGTGATTAAGCTGAGCATGTTATTTGATTCTGGTTGGTTCACATAAAGTGACTGGCTTGATCATGATCCACTAGATCACGTTAAATTCTGAATGTGAACCTAGCTAGTGTCTCAATTCAATTTTTGTTGCTACACAAAAGACGTGTAGGTCTAGTGTTCAAACGATTGATACAATATCAAAGGGAACAAGGCCATCATGATTTTAATAAATACAATTAGTGTTGAAGTATAAGATGATCCCTATGACTATGAGAAAGATGCATTGCAGTATTATGAACAAACACAGATGGCCAGGATTTTTTTTTTTTCACATTTCTTTCTTTTTCAGTGGGAAACAATGTTAAATAATAGTTTTATTCAAATTAGCTTGCTGATAAAAACACACAAGTTTAGGTGGGAACCTAACACTGACAGTAACAGCACAGCAATACTGGTGATTGACAAAAAATAAACAACAATGTTTATGAATACAAATAAAGAGACCAGGAAACTATTAACCGAAACAAGCACCTCGCTGGGTTGTCCAGTGTTTGCGAAGGCCCAAGGTACAGACAATGGCTGAGAATTACACTTGATCCAATAGCCCTAACAAACCTTTACTTTATCACTACGGTACAGTAGAACCTCGATTTTACGTACGGTACGGGACTGGAGGGCATACATAAATCTGGGATTTGTAAAATAGAGGTTGGGTTAAATTTGTGGCAACCTTTGACCTAATACGTACGTGACGCTCAATAAATGTACGTACGAACGAACAATGTTACCTAGCCTCTAGGCCTACGAATAAAACCATGTGTTTAGTGTTTTTATTCATCACTTTACGATGGCATAATAAAGTGTTCAAATAAAACCATGTGTCTAGTGTATTAATTTATCACTTTATATCTTTTATTTAACTAAAATAAAGAACATGAAAATATTGTAAGATTTAACCTATACGACAAAGGTATAACTTGGGAATTCCCCTTCATGCCTATTCTAAACAACAGAGCTGTGGTGTTGTCTGGGCCTGTTGAGACAAACTAAAACCATGTGCGCTGCACTGGGTGAGCCAACCAATTAGCGTTCGTGTACGTCAAACAGCAACCATGTCCTATGCACTGGGTGAGACAGCCAATTAGCGTTCGTGTACGAAACTATGTCTTCTGCTTCGTGTAGAAAATTAGACCAGACGAGTTCTTCCATGGTTTGCCACACGAAGCTACATGGTTTTAGATCTCGCTCAGTTCACGTGGTTTTAGATTATAAAAACCCAGTATTAGACTCAATCAACGTTATTGTTTAATGAAAATATGTTGCATTTATGGTTTGTTTATTGTCATAGTTTATTGTTATAGTCTTTTTACTTATGGTTGCTCTGAAAAGGGCCATTTGTTTTGAATATTTTCGGGGTGTTTGATGACATCATCATTGATACGAGGCGTACGTAAAACCAGGGGTACGTAAAAACGAGGTTCTATGTTATTCCAAGCTGTGTGTGTAATTTCTCTGCCGGCATCTACAAAACATACAACTTGCTACCGGAAATTTTGATGACGTCATAATTTACAATAGCCAATTAAAGAAATAGACCGGCAAAACTATTTTGGCATATTTCCTGGCGCCGTCATAAATAACACTTCCCTTTTAATACGTATTAAGTTTGTTTCTTTTTAATATCGTGACAGTAAACTATGGGGTGCCAAATGCAGCAAAAATCTGTTAAAATCAAAATTTAATGGCAAAATTGTATGTATATTTTATCAAAACATAGGCCTGATTTCTCAAAATGTAGATCTATTTTTCTAAAAACAAAGTTCTAATTTTTCAAAACGTAGTTAAATAAATAAATATAGGCTGAGATTTACAAAAAGGTCTTGAACTAGGCTTACTGTAGCAGGAGCTTGCTTGGCCCTATAATAGGCTAGCCTAGGCCAGTAATATAGTAAAATTCTGTATAGTCATACAAACACATGTTTACATTCTACCAAGATCGAAATAAACGATTTCATTTTTTCCTTGAAAATACAAAAAAGAAAATAAACTTTAAAAAATTTAGTTTAACTAATGGATTTTAAAATACCGTAAAACCTTGAATAGAAGCCCAATGTGCTTAATCTCGAAAGAAGCCCATCTCGAATTCAAGCCCCCTCTTTAGTTTGCAAAAGTAGACTCGAAAAGAAGCCCATCTCGAAAAGCATTGGCTTCTTTGGTAGAACTCCAATTTTTATCAATCTTTGTTTTTTTTTAACATTGACTAAATTTAATAAGAATAAAGAGATAATTACTTTCATCTTTTTTTTTCAGATAAGAGAGTGAGACTGAAAACCCAAGTTTATTGGTCATGAGGAGGATGTTCTATTTTCGAACCTCCTGAAGAATACTTTATCAGGTTAGAATTTGTCAACATTCATAGGCATACTACAGACTTGTTCTTATACTTGGTATTTAGCTTTCATTAAATCAACTCTTGAAAATACTGTACATCATTGTAGGCATCTGTAAGCTAAGAATCAATTCTCATTCTTATTGACATGGCTAGTAAGCGTGCAAGACAAACTATTACATTAGACCTGAAATTAAAAATTATTGAAGCACGAAGAAGCAATGAATCGAATAGGGCAATTGCACACAGGTTTGGTTTGGCAAAGTCTACAGTTTCCACGATTTGGAAAAATCGTAAGAGCATTGAGAAAGCTACAAAGTGCAGTTTTCCAGCAAAAGCTAGTAAGTCATCTTACATAACGGCTCCGCTGTTTGCGAAAGTGGACACTGCAGTTTTCCGGTGGTTTGCACAGCAACGATCTAAAGGAACACCAATAAATGGGCCATTACTTCAGAAGAAAGCAAGAATATTTGGAGAGCTGTTGTATCCAGGAAAGACCTTTAGGGCAAGTGATGGATGGCTACACAAGTTTAAGTGTCGTCATGGTATCAGCTTGGAAACCTTGCAAGGTGAATTGTCAGCCAACACGACTGCTGTCGAGCCATTTACTGATAGATTGAAGCATATCATCAAAGAAAACCAGCTTACAAAAGCTCAGATATTTAATGCTGATGAAACTGTTTTATGGTGGCGATTGTTGCCTAATCAATCTCTAGTTAGACAAGAGAAGACTGCTTCGGACCGTATTACCATTCTTGGGTGTACCAATGCTGCCGGAACCTGTAAAATCCCCCTTGTGTGTATACACAAGGCTAAAGGACTTCAAGGTTATCAAAATGAGGACATGAAAAAACTGCCCGTCACATATTTTAGCCATCATTCAGCATTGATGGATCCCGCAATATTTAAAACCTGGTTCCATGAACACTTCGTTCCTGTTGTGCGCAGTTTTTGCCAAGCAAACGTTGTACCCTTCAAAGTTGTGTTGTTGATAGATAATGCGCCTTCACATCCTTTAAAAGACCAGCTTATTTGTTGTTGTGGAAGTGTATGGGTAGAATATCTACCACTAACCACCACAAGTCAAATCCAGCCAATGAACCAAGGGGTACTAGAACCGCTCAAGCGAAGATACAAAAAGTCACTTCTTCATCACATCTTAGCTCATGATGATGCTGACTTGTCTAGAGTAATCAAGAATCTGAACATCAAAGATGCAGTTGGCTGGATCTCCCAGTCTTGGAAGGAGGCTACACAAGATAACATTAGGAGTTCTTGGAGACAGATCTTGCAGGATATTGAAATTGATGAACGACCTGGTAAGTCGAATGAACCAATTGAAGGTAATGGAACTATAGAAGTTGACAACAGTGGTGATATTTATGAGATCAAGGATATGTTTGCAGAGCTTGGTTATGTTGAAAATGATGAAGCATGGCTTTCTCCAGAAGAATGGTTAAGAGAAGATGAATGTGATCCATGTCACCAGTTGTTAAGTGAAGAAGACATTGTGGAGTTAGCATCATTTTCAGCAGAAGATGAATCTGATGAAACTGTTGCAGAAAATGAGGTGGAGCCCAGTATACCAGCATCTATTGCATTTGCTGCAGCCGATACACTGATGAGCTGGCTGGAAGCACAGGGAAATACTGATCCGCTGCATATTCTTCAAGTCAGAAACTGGCGGGATCAGGCAGCTAAATTACATGCTGACAACCTGAGACAAAATAGGTTACAAATAGTTTAGAATAAACATTTTAAGTACTTTTTATATTGTATAAATAAAAAAAAATAAAAAAAACTTAGGTAGTTTTAAAAGAAGATAGTTTTTAGTCCATACCTAAATTCAATACCAGTCTTGCTGTTCGAGGTGGTGAATATTTGGTGGCCTAGCAAACTCGATTATTAATGCACAGTAACTTTAATATGATATTCAACCAACTTAAGATTAGTGTCACGCCTTTTGAGTTGACAACCAACCATCAGGATCTGACCATGCAAACAACCATAATGTTAATTATTAAAAAAAAATGCATGCTTAAATGAGTGTTATGTTAGTCATGTCTGTTACTACTCAAAGATTAAGAAAACCTGCCATTAGCTAGGTTTGGCGTATTTCCCGGTTTGTACTGTGATGAACATATTCTGTGAGACCTGGCTCCGACAGAAAGGAATGTACTAAAAGCGTACAACAGAGATGACATCTGAATTAGAAGATGATGACAGCACCAGTTACCGTAAAAAGTGTAAGTTCTGTAAGATCAGTTTTCTTTAAATTTAACCTCCATTATAACCTGTCGAGGGTACAATGGTCACTTAAAGTCATATTTCACTTGCAGGCAAGATCAGTTATTGAATTATTGTTTTAAGTAAAACATTTTTGAGACCTAGTAAAGATTAACAGTGCAATCTTTATGATGTCAAACCGGGCGTTTTTTTTTTCTACAGCTGAATCGGGCCTGTAACCACAGGGGATTATTCTAGGAGAGGTAATGTTTGGGAAAATCCTAGGTGCTGGTGTGGCGGTCTAAGAGAAAAGGCATTTGGAGAGTGTTTTGGTTATTTAAACTATCATAATTGTTATACTAAAAGCCTAGGGTGCTTAATTTTCTGTATTGACATTGGTAATGACCAAGTGTATTTAGTAATTGAATAAAAGGAACAGAAAAATACCCCTTTAATGACCTCAACAGCATTTTACAAATATCCTGAATAATTCCTAAATAATGGATTGTCTTGGAAATAGCTATTTTTAGTGTCAAAATACAAAATAATTGTAACATTGTAATCATTCATAATCGTGACTGACGTTACTATACCCCATTTTTTCTGTGACTGACGTTACATTGTGACTGACGTTACACATTTCAAATTTCTCTCAAACTTCAAAAATTAACTTTAAAAATGAATTGTCATATTCACCACTATTGACCTCCCTTTAACTAAGAGAATTAGAAAGATTTTAAAATTTAGACCTCAAGTTTTTAATTTGATTAAAAATTGTCATTTTTCGTGACTGACGTTACATAATACAAGATAAAATTTTGTAGGATATTTTTTTAAATAAAAATTCAAAATTTTATTTTTTTACTTTTTTGTCATTAAAATAAAGATAATACATCTTGACATACAAAAAAATTAAAAAGTTAAATTTCTTTGGTGTAGCTAAAATCATATTTTTAAATATACCTTCTATTTTTTGTCTTTTTTGTTGTAAAATCATTGATACACGCTAATTGTTGAAAAAATCACAATAAAGGAAATTTTTTTTAGAACCATTATGATTTTTAGGAAATTACATGTTATTGCAATACAAATATACCTATTTTACAGTACATGGTTTTGATGAATTTTATTTTTTTGGAAAATGTCCCTCTGTTGTGGAATTGCCCATAGAGTGAAGATTCTGTTTGGCTAGTTATATAATTGGAGTATGTCTCTTGGTTGTTTATTCTTCTGATGAATAGCTCTCTAACATAATTGGTTTTATAATATATATATTATATTTATATATTCCGATATCCTATGTCCGAGAGACAAAACAAAACTTGAGTTGTATACCATGGAATACTGCATTAGTATACTAGGAGTAGGCCTACATAATGATTACAAATTTATTAAATTTCTTTTAAGATATTAACATTAATATAATGATTAATGGGCCTACATAATATCTTCTTAAATAGCTAGACACAAACCTACTTATAAACTATGAACTGTCTACTTAAAATTATAAATTGATAACAACTATTTAGCACCTATCTAATATAGATATCAGTATCGCCAACCCTTTTTTATGCACATCTATTTAAGTATAATAAATACCTTCTACAAATAGATATATAAACTATTAATAAACTATTTGTGTTCTATCATCTGTAGACAATGACTACTAGGTTACTACTAAGGTAATACTAAACGATAAACTCCTTAATAGACATGAAATAAAAATCTACCAACAACCTATTATCGTCTACAAAAATTGAGTATGTCTACTAGAAACTACATGTCTACTAAAAAATTTTGGTATCATGCCTACAGCCTCTAGGCGCTTTATTACTCCGGTCATTGGATCAAACACATATGGAACACCTACTCAGTTTCTTGGGGAGAATTCCATAATATTAATAAGCTAGTAATCAGCGCAGTTGTGTTCGAACCTACAGTACCAGGTTCCCACTTGTACTCCTGGGTGGAGAGAGGTAAACGTAGGTAAAGTATGTTGCCCAACACGGCTACCCCATTATTTCATGATATCTTGCCTAAGGACACCGCTTTACACGCTGCGCCACACCCCCAGTTGACATTATAAAGATTGCACTGTTAATCTTGACTAGGTTATAACAATGTTTACTTAAAAAAATATTCAATAGTACCCCCCAAAAGTTTACTGTATAAACACTATTATAATCGGCAAAAACAACAATAGCTCAAGAAACTGAACATGCACAAATTCAGATTTTTTAAAATTGTTTAATTTTTTGATTAACAGTTATTAGAAAGTATAATCCAATGTTTAAACTAACATTGATCCACACTAACATTTTAAGTGTAATGATACTAAAGTGCATTTCAACACTTCATTACCAATTATTGTTTGTTAACATGTTGAAGTTGAATCGATGGTTGAGTTGTTGAGGTATACACTATTTGATCCCAAGCTGATGAGTGCACTGGAATCGGTCCTGGATTGATTTTAGCCGCTAAAACCGGTCCCGCTTGGATAAAATTGGTCTGCGTCGACCTGGCCACTTCATTTGCATCATTTTCAAGACTGATTTATTAGTTTTAAATATTCCATATTATTGTGTGGGGTATTAGGTCATAAAATAGATGTTCTAATACATGAAATAAAGGGGTCAGCATTCTCGGAAATCGAATGCATGTACTTCGTCATGGCGTAAAGCACACACAATCAAAACAAAACAAGGTAAAAAATAAACTACAGTGGTCTAACACGATTTAAGACCACATCATTTAACTTCTTTTCGTACTTTTACACCAAAGGGTTTACTGGGCGCGAAGCTTTACTTGGTTTTCACCTTGATTTCACCTATGATTTCACACATACAAAAACGAAAAATATCATATTAATTAGGCTATATAATGAGAGATAAGATATTTATCTATCATTTGATTAGAAAAAAAATATGAGCAACGTTATAAAAATACAAGTTATAAATTAAATAGACGCCGGACCGATTTTGGCTTATATGGACTATATTTGGCTGGTAATTTTAAAGCCAAAATCGGTCCGGCAGGCCGATTTTGGCCCCGGACCAAATTTTTCCTGACAGGCCTATTCAATTTCACTGTTTAAAATTGGAGTTCAATTATCATAATTTGTTTTATTTTCTGTGTCCCTGCATAAATATTTGAAAAGCTGCATTCCAGGTGGATCAAATAGTGGCTGATTTTGTCGGTTGTCCCAGAGACTCCTTCTGCAACGTTGATGACAACAATGCAACAAACGCACTATGCCGTAGAGCAAAAGCAGCCAAGAAGCGAGCATTGCCAATTTAATGATGGTATATGCCCATGCATGCATTGAATTATATCCGATAAATCCCCTACATGATTGTCAGATGCAAAATATGCAAGAACATAATTTAATCGCACATGTACAGTAGGGATATAAGTATTAACTGAACAGGGTGTTCATCATTAGTGGACATCTGATGACCACATGACCACCTTGAATTGAGTTCCATCTATTGAAAAAAATTGTCAGTCAATAAAAAATGTACCAAATATTAAAGTATGTTGTTACTTTTTGGGTTATTGTATAATTCATGAAATTGAAAAATGTAAGAACTAAAACTTATTTGCATCCAGTAAGATTTCAATTTCATTTAGTCATAATTTTCCTTTGTAGTCATTGATCTGTCATTTTTCCATAATTATCAGTAATTTTGACACCTTAGCCAGTTTAAGTGTACAGTACTTTCAGGTAGATTACATCATGCCCCATGTAGGTTGCAAGCAATTGCTTTTTTTTTGGTGGTAAAGCAGATTTTAATGTACCTTGCCATTGGTCTATTTGGCACAAACGAGGGAAAATGGTCATTGAAATTTAAGTACAGTACTTTGAAAATCACCTTTGTAGTGTAACAGCTGTAGTTAGATGACAGTTTTTGGGCATATGGTTTAAGGATGCTTTCAGAAGTAACCCTGAGGAACATCAAGTTTAATATTCCTTTTGTAGCCTAAACTAGGCTATTGCTTACAGTACTGTATGTCATTGATCATAACTCAGTCAATAGAGTTCTAGTAGCAAGTTTGCTGAGATTTTTTTAAGGGGGCACTATGCTTGACAATCACACTTTCACACAAATCATTCGATTAGACAAACGTGACTCAAATAACAACATACAAACTATATATCATATGAAAGCTTATTGCTTGAGGAATCCAACAATAATATTTTTATTACATAATATGATACACCGTTGCCATAGCAACCATTTTCTTGCTAATTACTGAATAATACAAAAAACCTTATAACTTTAAAACAAATAGACATTTTTATTTCAAACTTTCTACAAGTATTAATTTCAAGGCAATGCAAAAATTCGATTGAACTTTTTTGTAAATTAAAGCTCACGGTTGCCATAGCAACCAAAACCATCCAATCAGAAAAAAAAATTTCTAATTTAAAAACTGATTAAGATATAAAGAAAATTTCCAATCAGATTTAAAGCTAACTAACAGTATTACCAACAACCTGGCCAAATTTGGTACAATTCCCATTGGTCATTCTAAAGTTATTAAAGATTATGTAATAACGAGCGTGAAAAATCGAAAATTGAGAAAATCAATGGTAAAGATTCCCGACAATTTCTTGACAGAGACTGGCTTGCTAGGCCTAGGCTCATCAGATGCAGCTCTCTCTGTTGTGTCAGAACGGCTTCGTGTAGCCTCAATACTTTGGCTTCCTTCCTCGCCTAAAACATTGGCCTGGCCCATTGATTCTTGCTCGAAATCCAATCCTGGATCGTTTTCTATGACCCATTGTAGAGTTTGCTAGGCTCCACAGGTTGTTTGACTACTAGTTAAGACTACTGTACGAACGAAAACAATTATTGCCGAGACTTACCATAACTCGTCCAGGAAT